TGGCCTCCCGAGCAGCGTCTGTGCGGCTGCCCCAGGGAGGCAGCTCACCCACCTGCTTCCGATTCGTCCAAACTTACCAGGACAATGTATTCTCACCCTCCTCTTGCCCTCCCCTGGTTCCCACTCTCTGCATGTCCTTCAGTAAGCATCCCTCAAGTACAACTGCCATCTAAGTAATAACATGGAAAATATCAAAAGGATCACTAATCGACAATCACGTCAGAGCACCTATGCTTGAAATGTCTACCAGAAATTGAATGAAAAGTTAATAATAAAAGTGCAAGTGTAGAAAAAAAGTAATAAGATAAAATTCAACCATGAAAAGTACTTGCTACACAGAAATTTGTTTTGTCTTTGAAAAAAAAAAAAAAAGACTGTTTTAATAGAGAAAAACTAAGAACTTTAGGTGGAGTTTTGTGTGTGTGTGTGTGTGTGTGTGTGTGAGAGAGAGAGAGAGAGAGAGAGAGAGAGAGAGAGAGAGAATTGAAAGATGGAATAATTTTTGGACTTGCAGTCTTCTAAGTAGTACCTAAAATATTTTCCAAGTTTAACTGATTTTAATAAAACATTAGTTTTTGTATATCCCAAAAGAAAGCAACAGTTCTATTAAAATTTTCATTGAAAACAAAATCCCCATTGTTTCCTGTGTCACTTATTTATTCTAGTTTATCAATGACTCAAGATATAAAAGCAGATATACTGATTAATCAAGTCTTATTGATTAGTATTTCACACAAATATCTGCAGCACAATTTTTTCCAATCAAGAATTTATAAATCAATTTAAATTCCTGGTAATTAAATTTACTAGCTCTGTAACAGCAACTGTGGCACTTTATGTAAAAGCAGTATGTGAAATCTGTACTCAAGAATATATTGATCAAAGACAAAACAGCAAACATTTCTATTAAACCAGATTCTTAGGACCAGAGTAGAAAGTACCAAACATCATAGCCTGCAATTGTTTCAAGTACACCCAGCAATTCTGCTGATTTGGGACCAGTGAAACTGATTACTTAATGGGGCAATCATTCAAGGCATCCAAACAGACAAAAATAGGGAATCATTAGCATACTCATCTTCACCTTGAGATAAAAAATGTTGAAAGATGTTGCAGACATTTAAAGTTTTGGAATCTGACCCCATTCTTAAACTAAGGGGGGGTGGGTAAGAATCTAAAGAGTGACAGCCAAAAATTCAGGGGAAAAAATAATGTATCTATAATTATATCATTATCTTCTCAGCTAATATTTTCAACTATCTTAGAAATCTCAAGTTTTATACAGATTTTCTCTATAGATTCTTGGAAGTACTACTTCTTTTCTCCCCTCTGGCCATACTCTTGTGCTATTAAAAGTAATTAATGAAATCTCTGCTCTCTTGTATCTCAGTCTTAAGTATCTGCCTACAAAAAAGATTTCCAAAGTTCCTGCCCAACATGAATAAAAACACACAAAAAGATTTTCTATTTATGGGAAAATAAATGATACTGGAAATTTAGCCATGTAAGTCTTTAATATAACTAAACACACACACACACACACACACACACACACACACACACACACACACACACTATGTTTTCACTCAGAAGATACCAGAGACAATTTTAAGACTCTCACTAATCTGGTACAGCCAGGAGAAAGAAAACTATTCTCTGTTTTTTTTGTTTTTTTAAAAAAAAAAAAAGATGGATCCTGAAATAATTACAAAGAGGCTCTACAAACTGTCTTTTTAAGAGAAGAGAAAAGCAAGTCAACTCACATATACAGCTTCCAAACAGAAGTCTTACCCTCTTCCAGGAAAACAACAATGAGACTTTATTGCCCTGCTATGATTCTTTCATTTCAGACATGATTAATTAGCAAGTATTACACTTCCCAAAAACTCCCACCATACTCTTTGTGGTCTATCATCCTAGTTGTTGATAGACCCATATGAAAGAGCAAATAACCACCAGCGGTATAAGACAAGTATCCAAAAAACTCTTCTCTCACATCTTTGCCTCCCAAAATGAAGCAGCAGGCTGCTTTTAACAGCTCTCTCTCTTTCTCTCTCTCTCTCTCTCTCTCTCTCTCTCTCTCTCTCTCTCTCTCTCTCTCTCTCTCATAAATAATCACATTTTTTAAAAACGTAGTCATTTTCTTAACAATACCTTTTACCATCTGAATAAGGCATGCAACATATTCAGTATTCGAAAATACAGGGCACATTTAACCTGTTTCCTACCTCTGTTTTTAAGCTGAAGTTTTGAAAGCCTTGTGAGTCCATGTAGCTTATATTGATAACCATCCACATGCACAATTAAGAAACAATAGAAAGAATGTGAGCAAGCATGTTTGAGGGAATGGATTTTATAGGGGGGGGGAATTTATTTTCCAAATAAAAGCTAACTTGTCACACATGCAGTGAAGATAGGAAATAGAAATAAAGGATGGAAAGAAAAGACAAAAAGAAGAGGGCAACTCTAAAATGTGAATGAACCTAAACTCTGATCTCTGCATATTGCTCCAAAAACACTCTTTCAATATAATTTTCCCTATAATCATTAATGCAATCAACTTTCACACTGTCCATGGGAACCAAGAAGCCAGCCATAGCTGAATGTACTATAAATATATATTTTAACAACCAACCATTCATAAAGACTCGGATTTCCCCCTTCAACTTTTCAACTGTTGTGTCAAAAAAACAAAACAAAAAAAAAAACTTCACACATAGTACAATACTAATAAATAGATCTTGGTTCCAGGAAACAATTTAAAAAAAATATCTATTCTGGTCAAAATACCCTTGCTTTTTTTCTGTTGTATTAAATTTAGGATCAAAAACATCAAAGCAGCTTCCACCTCGGACCTAACTTTTAGGGGATCAATGTGACAAGGCAGTCCCTGATAGATGTTTCTCTTGATAAACGACTTGTTCAAAAGAGACATTGTAGCTTTCATTTCCTGACCACAACACACTTTTAATTTGCAACAGCAGAGCTGCCAGAGTGTGAGCACTTGCCCACTTTCCAGCCTTTTAGGTTTGCAGCTCTGGTTCCTTTAGGCCAAACATCTGAGACAGAAATCTAAAAATAATCCCAGTAATAGAATTTCAAAATAGGAGCCACTAACGCCACTTTATACACATACACAAGTGTCTGCTTGATAGATAGAGACATAAACTTTTTCTCCCTGAATTCTAGGGTAGGATAACAAGGGTCCCGAGTGAACATCATTTACACAACGTGCATTTAACTCCCAGGGAAATAAATTATGTGACTATTATTTAATAGTAAGCAGAGCCTGAGTGGGGGGCGATTTACACACTCAAATCTGGTGCTAAATGCCATGAATTATATGATTGCCTAACCCAATGTGTGTGTGTGGTTTTTCCCCCCACATATTATTGCAATGCTTATCATTACTACTACCCAGAAATCACACTTAAGTATCAATAAGGTAAACAGTCAAACCATCCAATTTCTGCTCTCCGCACATTGTCTGAGCTCCGATTTAAAATTTATAAATGTAATATCCTCCTCATCACAGGCAGCAGCCCAATCTGCTCTGAATATATATTACAGCTTTAACATCACAGAGGGAAATCGCCCATCTGGCAATCCCATTCGCTCCAACAGCTCCGGGGGAGAAAAAGCTGTGCTCTCTCCTCCTCAAAACATTTCTCAGGGCAAATTATGTGCATCTAAAATAAACAGTCTCCTTATTGATCGCTTCAAAGTCAACAAGTTCCAAATGCAAAATTCAATCAAATCCTTCCTATCGGGGAAGACCGGTGCGTGTTTAGCTCCATAGTCACCGGAGTCCAACCAGAAGTGCGTGTCGCGCCACACTGGCTCTTGCCGTCCCTCTCCTTGTGTTCACATTCGTGTTATGGGAGAGCAGGAACCACCGCCACATCACAGACCCCTGGCAGCTCTGCCCCACTGCTGTTTGTTTCTTTCCCTTTCTCCCTTTCCCTTCTTTCTCTCTTTCCAGGGGGGATGCCTGGTGGTCGGTCGGTCGTCGGGCAAATGTACCCAAAAAGAATCAGGGTAGAGTGGACATTCCCTTTGGTTATGCAAAATACTTTGACCATCTTTTTGTTGCTGCTGTTGCCTCTTAGTCTTAATTGAATATCACAAAGTGTACACACGGCATAGTCACAAGAGCTATTGAAAACCCCCCTCTCACTCCATTTATCTGACCTTTTTTTTTTTTTTTTTGTAAAGAAAGAGGAAAGAGCGATTTCAAACAAAGTCAATTTCAGTGCCTGATTATTTAATTCTGTCACAGGTTAAAAGTAAAAAGCGTTGACAGGCAGACAAGTGAATGGCAAGCAAAGAAAAAAGAAAAAGAAAAAAAAAAAAAAAACTATCACTGTTCCTGAAAAGGCACTAAGCACTTTAAGCAATCAAAATATATTTTTAAATTCATGTGAAAGCTGTCCCTTCATAACTCACCCCCCGAAACAGACACACACACACACACACACACTCAGAAGAACTGATTACTCCACCAAGTGCAATCATTGAGAGAGCCCATAGTCCAATTGCATTAATAGATTGAGAGAGAAAAATTCACCGCTCTGTGTGTGTACATATATATACAGATATATACTTTCATTAGTAAGCAGTCTTTTCCTACACTCCCACCTTCTCCCCTTTTCACCCAGCCCCCTCCCCAAAAACCCCCACACTGAGTTTAACTAATTTACATACCATTTGACTTCAGTGGTTACACAGTGCATTACTAGTAACAGGCAACTTTGGGATTACAGCTAAACCGATACAAGTAGACTCCAGTAATCTATGACTCAAAACTGAAATAGATAAACATGTGATAGCAAAAAAAAATAAACAAGCATTTTGAGAGATTAAAATATACCTTTTTTAAAAAAATGAATTCTATATCATGAGCATCTGCTTCCCAAACAGGGTTTCTACGGTTTGATCATGCCATTTAATTTGTCTTTCCAATTTAGAGGCAAAGGAAGTAAATTCCAAAACTGACATACCATAAACACTGGTGCTACTGATCATTTCTTGCTGGCAGCACAAAAAGCTGAATTGGATTTCTCACAAGCAGGAATTCCAAAGGTTGCTTTTCATTAAAGCCACTTTTCCTCTCAGCTATCAAATGTCACTGCCTTGAAACGTGGGCCCTTTCGTCAGGTATTCATTTAACCTACATGCATATAATTAAGGGGGAAAGCAACATCAACAAAAAGGGGATCTCAGATCACAGGAGAAGAAAGGGGGAGAGAAAAAAAAAAAAAAAAAAAAAGCACATGACCAGGAATGCAAGCCCATGTCAATTTCACTCACTCCCATTGAAACTAACAAGAGCTCCGGGAGGACGGTAATAGGATCAGTGGATTGTATATACCATTAAATTATACATCTTCCTCTCCCGGCCCCGGCCAACAATACGCCCACCACGCTGCTGTGCCCCCTCCGAGACGAGGTGCTTACATTTTTCTGCAACCGATCTCCTGACATGATCACGTCCCCCCGGCCGCGGGAGGGTAATTTAACCTCAACTTTTCTGTGTGTGCGAGATTCTTATTTACACTTCTTATTTACTTAGAAGTTAGTTCCCCCAAGAAAGTCGTAGCCCCACCCTATGGCCCCGCTTTCTTCTTCTTCTTTTTATTGTTTTGTATTTATTTTGGAAGTAAAAAAAAAAAAAAAAAAGATAGTAAATAAGTGAGCACAAGACAGCGGAAAAGGAGATTCTTGCCATCGCGAACTCTTCATCCCACACGATTGTTACAATGATCAAGCAGCAATAATAATAAAATAATAAAATAAAACAAAATAAAATGCATTCTAACGTTCCGGGGCTACTTTGTAACAGAGAAATTAGACAGCAGGTTGGCGTACCCAGCCGAAGAAACGAGTGCACATCCAGTTCACTGTTTATGGCACAACTCGGAAGCCCCCTTTCATTACAGGTCTTGGATGTATGCACAGAGTCTTTTTTAAAAATAAAACAAACAGAAACAAAATAACCCCCAACACATCTAAACAGATGGTAAGCACACTAGCGAAGCTCCCCTTACCTGAAGGCGCGGGGCGAGCAGCCGATAGGTCAGCGTGGCATCGATCCGCCGCGCCCGCCGGTGAATGGGAGCGGGGGTGCAGCGGGGGCGCCTAGGGTTTGAAATCATTCCAAGTTTTTGAAGGGAAGACGGACTGCAGCCTCTGCCATGTTGGAATTTCAAACCCAAAACAGCTGCTTGCAAGGAGAGCCAGCGTGCCAGAGGCGGGGCGCAGGCGCAGAGCGCCGCCGAGCCAAATTCAAATCACTTTCACACCGAGAGCCCGCGGTCGGCTTTCCCGGGGCGCGGGGCGGGCGGGGAGCCGGGCGGCGGGAGCCCCGGAGGGAGCGGGAGCGGCGCCCGGAGCCCGCGGAGCCGGCGGGGAGAGAGGGCAGCGGGAGGCGGGCGGGCGGGCAGAGACGCGCCAGAGATTCACGGGCGGCGGGGAGGGCTCAATGGCCGCGCCGGCCGGCCGCTCGGGTCATGTTACACGGCCCGGGCCCCGGCGGCCGCCCAGCCTCGCCGCCGACGCGCTCACGCGGCCCGGAGGGGGCCCCGGGGTCATGATGACGCGCGCGGGGACCGGAGCGCCCTGGGCCCGCGCGCTCTGGGCGGCCCAGCCCGGGGTGGGGGGTGGGGGGTGAGGGGGAGAGGGGCGCAGATCTGGGGGGGGGGGGGGGAGAAAGAGCCTTTCCTTCTTCCCACGCCGCGATCAGCCGGCCCTGGCGCTCCCCGCCGGCCTCGGAGGGCCCGGGCCCGGGCTGCGCGGCTCTCCGTGCCCGCGGGGCCCTCCCCGTGCGCCCCCGGCCCCGCTCCAAACAGCCGCGGCCCGCGCGCCCCTCCCCGGCCCTCTGGGCTGGGCTCCGCGCGCCCCGGGAGCCGAGACCTCACCCACACCCTCCCCTGGGCCCCCGCACCAGCCAGACCATGACTGTCCGCCAAGGAGAGGCAACTTTGAGGGGGGAAACCGAGTGAACCCTGTTGTCCTCCCCCGCCTCCCCGTGAATAAATAAAGCCCTAAGTGTCTAGGTGTGCGGTCCACGCTCCGGCTCCCCGGCTCCCCTCCCTCCCTGCCTCCCCCAGGCGGCTCGAGCGGGGGAGCACAGCGCCCGGGGGCCCGGGGCGGGCTGCGAGAGCGCAGGCAGAGGCGTGAGGCTTCGGCTTTCCCAGCCCCCCTTCTAGGGAGCAATCTGGGGACCCAGGAGTGGGAAGGGAGAGTAGGGGCTTTGTAGTGCTGGGAGCTGAGGAAGAATGAAATGTGCAGTTGAGTGTGTTGCTCGCATCCCAGGGAGCAATGCAGCGCTGATTGTGTGTTGCTGAGATAGCCTTTTGTTCGGAGCATAAGGTTTTAAGAAACACACACATTTCCTGGGCTCTCTTGTTAGATGTAAATGTGCTCGCATCCAGATGCTTACTGTGTAGTGTAAGCTCAGTTGGCTTACTAATCACCCCGCCCCACCCCCAAACAACCGGGATCATTTGAATGGGAACCTCATTCAGACTTCTAGGCTTCCAGGTTTTTTTTTTTTTTTTTTGGTTTTTTTTTTTGCCTTCAACCTATTTCATTCTAGGCTAGCCAACCATCCAACTGAGATAATAAAGCAAACAATAACATTTGATCATGATGTCTATGAGATAATGTGCCCTGGCAAAGTTCTTTAGGAATTGTAATGAGAAAGAGAGTGGAGTGGGATGATAATTTCTCTTTTCATTAAATAGGACTTTAATAGATAAATGGTTAAGTTTATCCTTTGGCCTAGTGGACATCCAGTCCTCTGTATTTTAAGGAAGCTTAAGAATGAAAGAGGCAAATTATATATTTGACCAGTGGCTCATCAGGCTTGGAAATATTACCTTTGAAGGCTGGGACAGAAAATATAATTGTTTAGGACTGACTCTCGCATTTCCCCTGCTTTTCTGCTGTAGATTTAATACACTACATTCTGTCTCTCCGTGACGAAATTAAGTGTTTTTAAAATCTAGATATGGACTTGGAAATTTCCTTCTCCTGTTGTGATTTTCTTACCTTTCGTAGCCATTGAGTGGATGCATTTAGCTAACAAGATGAGAAAGGATAATCATTTTAGTTGAATCTAGACAGATGCCAGCATTTAAAAGACAAAAGAAAAGTGATTTAAGATCTTACCAAATATTTCTAAGGAATGAGATTTCTCTTTGGAATGAGTTTGACCTTTCTGTGCATTTTTTTTTTTTAAACCAGGCTTCAAAATAAAACAGAAGAACTTTATTCTGATGTAACAGAGAACACTGAAGCCCCTTTAGTTATATTTTACAAGATATCTTTGAAAATGATATTAGGAAAAGTTACGCATTGGGTTTGACCACAAAGGAATAAGTGTAGAAAAATCTCTATGGGTCACTGTTAGATTGAGCACAGATGAATTAAAAAGAAACAACAACCGTGAAGAGCTTATAATTTTCCTTATTGCCCATTTGGAGAATGACGACAAGAGGGCCTCTGGACACAGCAGATGCTCTGTGCAGTTCAAGCAAAACTGTGCTGTCCTTGTTCGTTAAAAAAATGTTCAAAGCACATCCACCTTTAACACTAAATTCTAGCATTGAATTTACAGTTCTTCATGTAAACCAAAATACTGACAAATATATATATATATATATATATATATATATATATATATAATGGGATACCCACTGAATAGAAACAATATATTTTGATGATTGACTTAGAGCAATTTATTTTCAATATCTAAAACAAAACATTTTTAAAAGGGGTCAGGAAGAACTTTTGGTTAGCAGGAGTTTACTAGTAAAGTAGTACCTTTTCCAATTCTCCTATGTTCATTTCAAGTACAGATTTAAAATCTATATTCAACATACAAATGAATATAATTAACTTTGCAATCAAAGAAAGGGAAACTATTTAAGAGTCCTGTGTAGCCTGGGGGAATGTGGCTCAGGGATTGAGTTCTGGCCAATGAACCAGGAGGTCACTCTTCAGTTCCCAGTCAGGGCACATGCCCAGGTTTCAGACTCCATTCCCAGTAGGGGGCGTGCAAGAGGCAGCCAATAAATGATTCTCCCTTGTCATTGGTGTTTCTATCTCTCCCTGTGCTGTCCCCTCTCAAATCAATAAAATTGTATGTACTCCTGGGAAATAAGGCTTATATAATAAAATATACCTTATAAGTTTTGTATGACTAATAAAATTCAAAAAAGAATTTGTCATCTCACTATTTCTAGGTTGTTTTTTTTTTTAAAGGTATATATAAAGTTTATTTTTATCCATTTACTTTTTCCCAAAGTAAGATGAAACTTAATTTTGTTTTTTGAAAAGCTTTATTTTTCTGTTGAAAAATTAGCACATTTTAAAGATTTTTTAAAAATATAACTATCTTTAATAAAGTAGTATGATTAAATACTATTTTAGCAGTCATCATATCTTATCTACACTTAATTTTTAAACTTTTACTTAAAAAATGTTTTTGGGTTGTAACTGAAAAATCTATCCCTCAGTATATTTTATGAAACTTGTGGTGATAGGAGAATAAGAAATTTAGTCTTTAAAGGAAGTTGATTGATTAATCAAGGAAAGAGTTAATTCAGTGGGAAAAAATTGACTAATTTTTTTTTCCTGCTGCAGTAATCACCTGCTTACTTCTGTTTAAATATTTTTTAGTGTAGAGAGAACAAATATGAATTTCTAATGCACATTATTTCTGACTTTGTTTTTTAAAGAAAATCAAAAGAAAAATAAACATTAACTATTCTTGTTTTCCTTCAGAAGTGTGTGTGTGTGTGTGTGTGTGTGTGTGTGTGTGTGTTCTCTCTCAAGCTAATTCAGAGAATAATAATTCTACTTTTTCCTGTTCTTATTCTACACATAGAAGCAACAACAACCACAGTGAAGGGTAAGGAAATGAGCAAGGTGATATTGAATGTGATTTTGCAGATGACCATATGCTTGTCTGCATTGAACTAAGGATAATGTGACCCAGGTTAGACAAGGAGATGTGCTTT